TTGGAACCAGCATCATAGCCTTTAGGATATTCCCATAATTGCTCTGTCCTTATCTTCAGCAGCCAGCACAGAGTTCCAGTTCCGATGTAAGTCTTGAATATCCATCTTGTCTTTTCCCTGAGTGTTGAGTGGCGGCCAGTTATCTTAGTCACCCCTAGCAGCATCTTTCTCATCAGACCATGATGAACTATTTGTTTATCCGCACCTTGTCTGTCATTTTGTCATTGCTTAATGGTGGTCCTCTATGCCGAAGTCCTTGCCTGGCCATTGACACAGCCAGTTTGGCTTGATGGCTTTCCCAAACGTGGCCCACTTTCTGCCGATCTGTGGCTAACTGTATAAAGTGTCTGTGCCACCCCTTTATTGGTATGGTGCTCGTGGCATTGAAACAAAAGCCTTTTTAATTTTTAAAGTGGTTTTCACTTTGGTGTTGACCTGCTTTTAACCAAATTGGTCATTCCATCATTTCACAGTAACTGTAAAAATGACAGGTGTTTACTATAATAACTCACTCACATGCTGACACCTATCACCTTTTATTTTGCAAGTGAAACAAAAAGGGATCCATATACTTTTCCAACTGGAGGGGATATTTCCTATACTAAATATGTTTGAGGTGACTTAACCCTTTTAACCCAGAAGTCCAGTACTTTGACATGGCGTCTGTGAAAGATTACTGAGTAGCTGATATTTCAGCTTTGGTACTGTTTGAAGCTGCATATTGTTTAGAAGGGATAGCTATGATTGTATTTAATATTTAAAAAAAGCATTTTGGGATGTATATAGTGAAGCATTTATTGTCTTTTGTAGTCATTATGACATCAAGATTTGCTTTTTTCTTTTCTTCAAGGGAATATATTACTTTTAAAATCTATTCCGCCCTTCCCCCTCAAAGGTTCTTGCCTTCTGTTTTTTAAAGGATTTCAAGTGCGAAAGGGCAACAGCCTAATAATTTTTTTTTTTTTAAACATATTTTAAATGAGGAAATATTGAATTAGTTATGCTTCACATGTAACAGCAAAGTTCAGCAGTTCAGGCTGTAATTAAGATTGCAGTAACACTTTGAGACATGGGATGGAAAAAGAAACATTGAGATCAGAGTTGTGGTCGTTCATGTCTAGTCATGTGCAACACCTGTGAAAACATTGCACTGACTGTTGTCTAAACACCATGAAATACCATGTTTATTTATGTAAATAACAGGAGAAGAAGCAGCAAATGTAATGCAGAGCTTTCAAACTTGTCATATATATTGCTGACACATTTTTTTAGGCAAACATAATTTCATGACACAGTAATCAGTCCACTAGCAAACCAGAGGTTAAACTGACCCCTTATACGATGATATTCGTTCTCATGACACCTTCACACTTCAACAAACAACGCACTAGTGTGTCACAGAGCACAGTTTTATCTTATTGGAATACAGCAAACCAGTTACCATTACAGACCCTTAATCCAGAAAGAGATGAAATTGAGCAAGAGGACGCCAAAGAAGAAGATGGGTTGATGACATAAGAGGCTGTAAATGTGCATGGAATAATTAGTTTGTTGAGGTACCAACTTCACAGCAAACACGACTGCCCATAAATGATCTGCATGGAATTTCCACTCACTGAGCACTAAACCACCAGCTATTCCTCACCGTGGATGTGTTGATTCATTATGTTATGGAACTTCTGTTACAGTTAAGTCTGTTACAGTTAAGTTCTAGCTTTTGATTGATGACACATCCACAGTTATCAGTATCATTGAGGCCTGTATGCATATTGGTTACATTCACCTCATCGGTTTGCCAGTCCATCGGTTCCCAAAAATAATCTTTTACAGTAAGATACAAGATGGTGGACGTCCCCGTGGTGGCCAGAAAAAAGGCTTCAAGGATAAAGGGCAGCTGTACAGTGCAGATAGGCTAGAAAGAGCCGTGTAACAGGCCCTTTACCTACATACACTCTTTCAACCCCCCCCCCCCCCCCCCCCCTATTGCTCTAGATCTTTCAGTGCCCATTATGAGCTTAAAAGTCATTCACAGACAATCAACTGCATTTTCTTGACGGATGAAAGAAAGAGTGGTCATCATCACTTGTGATGGATGGAGATGTTCAGGGGGTAGACAGAACTAATTGTAATTCAGGAGCTAGCCCCATTCTGTCCTGAACCAACATATTTCTTTTGCTGTTATTGACTGAGAAAATACATTTTAAAATAAGACCAGAAGTGGATGAACAACCAGAACTTTACACCGGTGAATGCTAAAAATAAGCGGAATTTTAAACTGCAATCGCCATATAAACATTTCAGGAATCGTGGTCATCTTGCACCCTCTGTTTTTCTACCCCTGGCTAAATTGGGTTTTTGTTAAAATTGTAAAAAAAATGCTTCCCCGGCGTTAATAATATGAACAAAGGAAGTCTGCACTGTTTGAAGCCTGATCATTTTTGCTAACAGACTACAGAAGCCTTGTCATTTCTCTTAATGAAAAACAACGCTTCCTGAACTGTATCAGTTTTAGTATGAACCTGTTGTGTTTTATAATTGGTAGCTCTTAAACATAAATTCATTATTCAGGTTTATACTGAAGCTCAAATTATTTTAAGAATTGTTTGAACTCTCACAGTAATGAAGCACAAGAAGTTTTCAGTTAGTATTCTCGTTGACCCCCGTCTGTGTCAGCTAGATTACATAGCCACATGAATTCATTTATAGCTGACTTTTCTGTTTATTTTAAACACCTTACAAGCTAAATAAACATGTATAGAAGTAGAAAGGGCAGTTGTTTTAGTGTCAGAAAGTTATTAACAGTGGTACTATTACATAAAAAGGTGAAGTCAGGAACCAGCCCCACTGCACACGATTATAAACCATAAGTGCTCTGCCACCAGTACGAACAGCTGATAGGAAACTGTGTCGCCGTCCGCACGCAACTCCGGAGATTTACCCCAGAGTATCAACTCTGGTGCCCATTACCTAGAGGCTCGGTGAACCCTGGAAACAGCCTGGTTTCGAACACTGGCCTTGGGCTGCAGCGAGTCACAGCTGGATTTGATAGCAAGTCTTCTATCGACTGAGCTAACGGGGCCCCCCTGAATGTTACATATAATCATGGGGGAGTAGACAGCTAAAAATAACTCAGAATCTGGTCTAGTTTTTCCCCACAGCTGGGCTAGGAAAACTAATATAATGCTATTTGATTCAGACGGTAGATACAAGTTTAAAGTTTCCTTCTAACTGCTCTCCGAATGGGCTCCAAGGCCCCATTTTAGGGTAAAAAGACTGGACCCACTGCTTCTGTACCAAGCGTGTCACAATAGGGGACTTTCCTTTTAAGTCTGAGTACATCTGCCTGAGAAAGTAAGAACAACAGTCTGCATGCAAGACTAGATTCTAAACTGTGGAATGAGTTTGAACAGGATATGTTGGAATGGAGGGGTTGACTGCATATCCTGTTTGGCTTGTCAATGACAAAACAGGATGATGATGATGATGATAACATTAAGTTATATAATGCTGCATTGGGTTTCAAAAATGATCATCTATTTTTTTTTTAATTTTAGGTTTAGAATGAATAGATAAGCCTGCCTAAGCAGCAATGGTAAATAGAATTTAATGATGTAACCTAAAATCACCAGTAGGAAAAGAGAGCTTAGAGAGAGACGGATGCAGCGAATTTAGAGGTGATAAAAAGACACGACACTATTAGATATGCATTGAGAAAACCTTATAACTATGATACCCAAACCTTATAACTGTGATAGAACGCACAGAGCCATAGAAGTCAAAGATTTAAAATGATGAAATGAATTAGCATATTAAATGAGTCCTATTCGATAACAAAGTATATAATAATTTAGTGTGCATTTTTTTGGACTAGCTCTCTGTTGGATAATTAAGGTCAGAAAAGCAATAATGCATGGTAGTCCTCCTAAGAGGACCAGCTTGTCTTTAAGTTATGGTGCACAATTTTATATAGGTAACTCATAGGTTAGGAGCTTCAGCCAAACAGTTATAACAGTAGGCTTTTATTGATGGGGGCATGGAAAGGGCCACATTGCCCACCAAGTGCTTATTGGTCAATAAAAATAGGAGTCCAGTGTCATATACCTGGTTGGTCACTGGCGTAATAATTGGTCTGCTACATTTTTTACTTATCCAGGACACCCATGGTTTAATCCTTGGGAAGGTGGTGGCATTTTTTTCTTTCTGTTAACAAAAAACCAGGCAGATTTTTAACTTGCACTAGCCCCAGCTCAACCCTGCCTGCCTGTTGCTTATCCCATCTTAGCTGCTACTTTGACAACCTGAGGTCAGAAGATCTCAGTCTGGATGACAAAGCAACAGGACGTGAAGGTTTGACACTGGGGCTAAAGAATCTTAGTGCTGGTGGCAGACACACAGGGCCTGAAGGTTTGACACTGAGAGACTAAAGAATCTTAGTGCTGGTGGCAGGCACACAGGGCCTGAAGGTTTGACACTGTGAGACTAAAGAATCTTAGTGCTGGTGGCAGATACACAGGGCCTGAAGGTTTGACACTGTGAGACTAAAGAATCGTAGTGCTGGTGGCAGACGCACAGGGCCTGAAGGTTTGACACCATGAGACTTACGAATCTTAGTGCTGGTGGCAGACGCACAAGGCCTGAAGGTTTGACACGATGAGACTAACGAATCTTAGTGCTAGTGGCAGACACACAAGGCCTGAAGGTTTGACACGATGAGACTAAAGAATCCTAGTGCCGGTGGCAGACCAACAGGGCAAGCCCAGTTCAACCTCCAAGGAAGTTATAATTAGGACACCCTTAATGCCCACACCATCCCGCAGTAACTGAAAGGTGCAAGTAAGGATTTGATTGAACATAAATTGTCAGGCTAAAATTGACCAGAAACCCAATCCCTTCCACTTAGCTCTACACAGCTCCCAAAAGTGGTGAAATGAAGACAATAAAATGCAGTTTTTTGTTTGTTAAATAATTTTTTTTTTTAATTTGTTGTTTGATATTTTTAGTCAAATAGGAAAGCGAATGATGGCCAGATGTCGTCTGCTGCTCCAGGAGAATGCAGACCTGGGGAAAATGATCTCGTCTGGAAGAACTGCCCGACTGGAATCTGAGATTGTCATGCACAAAGCCCTGGTTACAGAAATGAAGAAAAACCAGAAAGGTAACCACTGTAATGTTAAGATTAATCTTACTATTGATAAATAAAAGGGTAACATGCTGGAGATATCCTCTATCAAAGTCAAAGGTGGTGTAAGATTACTCATTCCCTCCCCTAGCCTGCGAGACATCCGTAGGCAAGGTGGGGTACCTATTTAGCCCCACTAATGTTAGTGAACCCATGGAAGCCGTTGGCGGATTAAACCTGAGGGCAGCCAGCAGATAGTTGTTGGTCACTGCCTTAAGTTCCTCGACTGTAGGCAGAGGATTACACTACAGCAGTGGCTCTCAACCTTCCTAATGAAACCTTCCTAACACAGTCCCCTCATGTTGTGGCGACCCCCAAATAATTATTTTTCTTCATAACGTAATGAATGTGTTTTCCAATGGTCTTAGGCAACCCCTGTTAAAGGGTCATTTGACCCAAAAAGGGTTGCAACTAGCAGGTTGAGAACCGCTGCACTATAGTGATAATGGCTACAGTGACCTGACCAGTGTGGTCACTACCACGAAGAAAAGCAATGGCAAACTACATTTTTTAGGATGCCACAAAATGTCATGATTTCACAGTTTATACACTCATCCATGAATCTGGTGATCATTTGAGATTGTGAAAACTTGACAGCCTGCACTTGTCAAGCATGATAGAGATTAATAATCATTGCTCCAGTATCTTGTGTTGATAAATTGAAGCAGGTAGATGTCACTCACTGGGCTCATAAGGACCTTTGAAAACGCCTTGGGGAAACATTTTGATAAAATTGGCTATGAGCCCTGCTCTCATTTTGTCATACCCATACCATCTGTAGACAGTATCCTTGATCTGTTTGTTTCAGCAAAAACCAGAGGGGGGGGGCAGAGTTGAGAAACATTGTTTGTTTCTAGAAGCCATGAATGTCCTGCTCTGCACTGGTCTTGCTAGAATTGACGGTGGTTTGCTCCCTCTAGTTTCATTATTTCCACAGTATTGTGGCCTCACAAAAATCTGAATGAAAATTTTAAAGTAACGAGGCAAATTACTTTGGAATGGAGGAAGGCTAGTTATGACAAAGAATATGCCTTTTGAGAGTCCTGACACAAGTTTATGTTAGAAACTTTTAAATGTCATGGAAATTTTCTTTGCTTACCCTGTGGCTTGAAAAGTTTCCTTGTTTTATTCAGGTTAAAATATAAATTAAAAAAAAAAAGTCATTCAGTTTTCATTTTTTTCTCAACATCAACTGAATGTTTAGAGAAAAATTGTGTCAGTAAATATAATAGTTCTGCTCAAACTAAGTGAGCATGTGCTCACATCAGATAGTTGTTACATCAGGTAGCGGGAACATTTGACATAGAACAGAAACATTAGCGAATAAATAAAAAAGACCACTTTCCTTTCATTTGGCATATAGTGCCAGACCTATTTTATAGGCCAATCGGCACAGTGGTCATCACGCTGGCCTACTGTGCTTCCCAGGACATTGCCTGTTACCCATTCAAGACTTTGTCGGCTGTTTTAATTTATAATTTCATTTGTAACAGCGATTTGTCGTTTTGGTTGTTATACTTTTGTTGTTGTTTGTTTTACCAGTTTCTACTTCTGTGTTCATCCTTAAATAGATGGTTGACCCATATTGTGGTTTACAGCTAAACTGCAACATCTGTGCTACTTACTTCAGCAAACCCCTAATTAGTTGTCTTTTATGACGTGTAATATTAGAAGCATGGGGTCTTTCTCTCCTCCCCCCCCCCCTCTCCCTCCCCCCTCCCCCCAACCCCTATCTAATATGAAATGGAACGCCAGAACCCACATAGAGATTTTGTCATTTAAGTCAGAAACTGTTATGTCACTGGCATGTTGTGCCATCATTATCATCATCCAGCTGGCCTCGATGACCATGCCGCAGTCTTCAACATCAGGCCTCATTTAGTATGCTGACACCTTTCCGTGAACAACCAGAGCTTTCTGCCAGAGTTGACAGCCTCTAAAGAAGAAGAAGATCTGGTTAGAAGTGAGTGAAAATACACGACACACAGAAGGCTGTGGTTAGTCATGACTGTCAACACCATCGGCATGGGGACAATATGGAGAATTATTATTACCTGCTTATTATATTAGTTTAAAATATCTTCCGTCTCCAGGGTGAAAGTTGGCTATAGTTTATTACTATTGTGTTTGGAAATATTACATGGTGGACCCCAAACTTTTCTACGGTACAACTCCAGTACTGCTAATAGGAATCTTCGTGAATGGTGGGTTTTTTAAACGGTCCACCACAGGACTTGATGGTCGTGAAATTGTTAGATGCTAACCTCTACCCCGCAGGACCTTTCAGCCATATAAGTATAATAGCCATATATTGCCCTTTGAAGAGGTTTCAGATGTCCGTAGCTGTGAGGTTTAGCTATTGGCCTCACACTTTGTATATGGTGGGTTCATTTCATTGACAATGTCATTCAGTTCACAGGTGCAGTTGTTAAGTAAGATCTCTTGGGATTGTCAGTGAAGCCAGCTGTGAACATTCTCATAGAGCTGGTAGTTCTGCAGAGAGGGTGAGAGACTGATAAAAGCTGGTGCATTGAAGTTGATACTTTCAACTTCAGTCCTTTTGCCCCATTTTTTTTAACGACTTTTTTCAAAATTTCTTTTAGAAGAAAAGCAGCCTTGTTCTCCAAAACTTTACCTTAAGAAACTGGAGGAAGGAAATAAGACACGTAATAAATTTAGCATCTTGGGCAGTGTTTAACCCATAAACCACCAAGCAGACAGGTTCACGTGAAGTCTACCACGATCAGATCACTAGAATGATTTTTTTTAAATTAAATTTGTTTATTTACTGTATGGTGCACGAAAGTTTAAGCAAGGGAATTAACCACTGAATACCAACTGAGCCTATAATTAACAGCTTTCCTTGCCTAAGACATTGAACAAAGAGGTTTTGTTGGCTTAGCCAAGGGGAGCAGAGGGATGCCATTTGAGATTATTAGGAAGAAGAGGTGATTTTCACAGTCGGCCCCTAATAATATCTCGCATTTATTGTGTGTGGTCATACCCACCATTTCTACAGACTGTGCAGTAGCAGCTGGTACCAGCACTCTTATACAGGTGTGGTGGCCACTGTCTAAAGACTTCATGTTATCAAAAACTCATCAGTTTTAGAAACTGACTTTCTGGTGGCAGGTTTAAACTTTGTTTGAAAAAGCTAAAGGGCTTTGGTCACATATGGTCTACACCAGTTTTCCTGCAGGTCTGTGGAGCAAATTTAAGAAGTCCAGCATATCATATACACCCACACACACAAACATATCAGTTAAAGAATGAAATCCTTTTTGTGATTGTAATATTTGTCAGGTATAAGTTTTTCAGTATGAACATTTATTATTGTCAGCCAGCGAGGCAGACCTTCGGAAATAAGAAGGATCTGCAGACACTACCTAATGGGGAACCAATGATCTGCAAGAAAATTGTAACTGAATGTTGTGTCCAACTTTTACAGTATACGTGCTGTCCTACTTCAACCATACATATGCTATCCAGCTTTAAATATTTACATTGTGTCCAACTTTAAATATGTATGTTGTGTCCAACTGTAACCACGTATGTTGTTTCCTGTAACCACGTACATTACCTCTCACATGTCCTGATACTGTTTTTCAGAGCTGGACGAGTTTGTCGGAGAACTGGAAGAAGATGTGGAAGGCATGCAGGGTATGATATTCATGTTACAACAGCAGTTGAAGGAAGCTCACGAGCAGATAGCCAGACTACAGCAAGATAATGAGCGATTCAGAACGTTACGCATGCCCCCGGACACAGAACCGGGGGGCAGTTTTGGTGTTAGTAGCAATAGTAATACGCCTCTGCACAACTGGACAGAAGACCATGGTCGTGAATCAGAGTTGGGTTCCCTGACACCAGGTCAGCTCCTGTCTTCTGCTCAGGCAGGAAAGAATGCTGAAAATGAAAATAGTTCTGAAAGTTTGACTAAAAGGACCTCGCCAGCTCTGCCACCTGCACTTTTGGCCTTATCGGTCAAAAACAAAGCATGTGTGGCCAGTTCAGACCAGCTGTCTATTGGTCAGAATTGTGAAGATGACTTCAGCTCGTTTGCATATAAAGTGACTCCAGACTCGGGCATGCAGACCCAGGAAGACGAGGATGTCTCCATGGATGCACCAGAGTATTCAGAATCTGTTAACCAGCAACAAGTTTGTGATACCCATCTGCACCAGACCTATTCACATCCCCATGTTGCGTCAAGGACTACCCCAGAAAACCCTGGAATTACCATTAAAAGGGAGATTATTGCACCTCAGGCAGGATATGAGAGAACTAGCATTTCCCAGACTTCTTACACACCTCCTCACAAGACAGGCTTTCCACATGATGCGGCTGGTGAAACTCTAAGAACTACCACTCCTTCAACCAAATCAAGCCAGAACAGCAGTGATAGCTCCTCAAAGTCTTTGCAAGCTCTCAGTGAGGGTTCTGCCTCTACAGAAAATGCAAGCTGTCCATTTATTGTTCACAGCAGAGCAGAGGGAGAGCAAAGGACTCAGTATCCCGAAGAAACAATGGATTCAGAGAATAGGAATTCGGGAAGGACTAATCACACACTGGAAACTAGGTATGAAAAGACTTCGGCAGTGTCAGCTGTTGAGAATAAAATAGGTGAAAGACCCTATGGAGAAATAATGTTAGATGAGAATAAAGCTGCACTGCATGCCACTTTAGGATTACATAATGTCAAAATTGAAGACGATAAACCAGACATTCAACTGAAGATAGGTCTTGTCAACGGAAGCCCAGTTGCCGGTCAGGGTCTATGAGGGAGCATCACGTTTTGTTGAATGAAACAGAGAAGCCTGGCTGTTCCCTGTCTGTTTTTGGGGTAGAGACTCGTTTGGGTAATTGAGATTTTTCCCTGACATCTATGTGGTGCAGGCTGATAGCGTATTGATGTATGTATTAGTAATGTCTGAGTTCAAGCATGGCAGCAGTCTGTGAGTATGTCAGATACATATGTTTTCTCAGCAGACGACCTGTCCTTTTCTGTTAGTACCACCTGTATTTGCCAGTTTTTAAGGTGGTGTAAGACAGTGGTGTCTTGGGGTTGGGGTTTTAGGGCCACATAGCTAGTGCAGTTGCCACAGACTGAATATGTCACCTAAAAAGTGCATTATTTTATCTCCATTTGTCTGTGGCTAAGAGGCTTTGCAATTCTGAGCTGCTGGGTTCGATCCTGGCTGCAGGTGATTTAGCAGTGGACATTTGTTTTCAGTGGTGTCCAGAGCTGACCATTCAAGCAGTAATGGCAAACTACTGAACATATTACCTATTGGAATAATTTTTTGTTTTTAAATGCTGGTGTTGGCTCTGTGACACATCCAGTAAAGTTACATTACTAACTTTTTGAGGGGGAACAATTGCAGTATTCTTTTTTAAATATTTTTTTCATAGCAGTTGTGTGTAAAAAGAACGTGATATAGAATGATATCTTCATGCCCTCAAAGCCAGCTTTTAGATCTTGCAGTCTGGTCCTTCATCCTTTATAATCCTTTTACTATCGTGGGATGGAATCCTGCCCACCCACCACTTTTGGATTCTCTCAACGACTTTCGTCTTATCAGGGTGAGATATTAATGGATAATTGAAAATTAAACAAGGTGGTGACACTGGTTCTGGATTGTACATGCACGGAAATGTTGAACATGTAACATCAGATAATAGTATGTAGTTTCTTGTGTTTGGAGACAGAAACAAACAACTCCGGATTTTCAGGGCTATTCAGCTGGCAGGCCAAATGTGGCCAGCAGTTTAATGCCAGTTGTATTAGTGATTTTCCCATGCTGGGGTTGGGGTCTCTGGCTTGTGGCGATCCCCATCTGAACAAACTCAGTTGAATAGAGGCAGCAGGGGATAGAAGAGTTTAGCAGGAGCTGATTCATGGCCCATGTTTTATTAAGGACAGCAGACAGAAGAAACTGTCACATTGTAAGTCCCAGTGCATCTGCCTGAGAGGCCAGGAACCAACAACAGTGCATACAAATAAGCCAGATCTGTAAAACGGACTTGCACACAAAACTCAAGTTGGATCAAGACCAGATTCCAGGAGTGGACGAACAGCCATAACTTTATACCAGATTTTTCAGCTGGTGAATGCTGTGCAGATGAATAGGTATTCTGTGCAGAATTAAAATACAGGGGATTTGATATAGGGGAACAGCATCTTTTTATGGTCCAATCACTACTATATGGGTGATGTGGTCAGTATCACTTTGGCCGTTTTTACCTCCCAGAACATTTCCTGGTACCGTTTTTTAGGCTAGATCACCCTGGACAATGTTTTGTTTAAATTCCACCTTGGATTGGGGGTCAAACCCATGCCTCCCCATTAAGGTTCCGGGGCCCCATTGGGGCGGGGGAGCATATCCTCTGTCCCTAACAAGTATGCCATGAAAGGTAACTAATTAGTAGTGGTACCTTTAAAGTTGAAGTGCGTCTGAGAAGTGAGGAACCAGTAGTCTAGATATAAATAGGTCAGATCTGTAAAATGGATGTAGATGCAAAGCTCAAGTGTGTAAAACAAGGCAAGTCCAGAAGGGGACAAACAACCAGAACTTTCTATCAGAGTTTACAGCCGGTGACCATGAGGAAGAAGATAATATAGCCACTGGACCAACGTACAAGTGTGGGAGACTGGCAGCCACTGGACCAACATTCAAGTGTGGGAGACTGGCAGTCACTGGACCAACATTCAAGTGTGGGAGACTGGCAGTCACTGGACCAACGTACAACTGTGTGAGACTGGCAGTCACTGGACCAACTTACAAGTGTGGGAGACTGGCAGCCACTGGACCAACGTACAAGTGTGGGAGACTGGCAGTCACTGGACCAACGTACAAGTGTGGGAGACTGGCAGTCAGATGCTATGGTGCGTGCCACATCACCTCTGCAAATATTTTGTTGTATCTATTTAATGTTACTGGTTTGGCTTCTAAGCCGTGTAGCAGAGTAAACATGCTTTCTCGCAGAGGATTTGAATCCAGGACCGCCAAGATATGATGTAGCAGGTTAATCCCATATTGGTAAGAGAATAAGACTTTTACATTGTTACTAAAGATTTGACACATTTTGCTGATTAAATTAACACAATTATAGGGAAGGTTTTTGAGGATCAGCTTAATTAGACCAGGTCACTTTTTATATGGTTTTACTCAGTCTGCGAAACAACTTGCTGTGTGATGGAGAATCGCACAAATTCAGTGACTCCCAAGTCGCCAAGGATCTTCATAAAAATGGCACTCTCTAACCCTGCCGCTCTGGTAACGCTAAAAACAACGGGTCATGACAAGTCAGAAAAGTCACATTAACAGGGAAGTGTGGGTTTTGTGGCTTTCCTCAGACAAAGGGGTAACCATCTTAAACAGTCTGTGAAATGAACCCACAACTTCCAGAGCAAACGGCTTAGCTACAGATACTTGGTTATGAGTTGAGACCTTTGTTGGTGTAATTGTTAAGGCATTCGTAGCCACTCAGTAATTAAATTTTCAAATGCTGTTTGCTTGTTTGTACTGATAATTCTGGCTTAGGTGTTACAAACATGGTTAGTAATTCCGAGAAACCTGGTTCAACCACAGCTGTGGGTGATTTAGCGGCAGACCGACTTGCGCTCTTGACAGTAATATCGAGAGCTGACCATTCAGTAGCAATGGCGAACTAATGCGTGTAAAATCACGGACAACCAGAAATTGGTATGGTTGGTTCTGTGACATCCTGCAAAGGATATGCAACTGTTATGCTAATAAGAATAATGGCTGCCATGTATGGTAACAACAAAGCTGCAGTATTTCGGCCTTTCAGCAAATACATCCCAACCAACTTCAGTCCAGCATGTTGTTTGTGTTGGTCTTCACTCTTGGCATATAAGCGAATATTCTATGCTGGGTACAACTGTACATTTTGTCAGGCATAGGGACAGTATGGGCCTAGTGTTTTATCTTTTTCAAGACATGGAAAGATTGTTTTAATGTATGGCAGGCACACGTTGACTTTTTATTTTTTTTGTTTATTTTTATTAAACTTTGTCCGTGGAATCTGCATGTCTACTACTTGGAAAAAAATAAAATCGAATGCGTTGACAAAATGTTGTGAAAACATTGTAATAAATGACCAGTTTTCAGGTAAGGGCTAGCCGCTGCAGACCATTTGGTCATTTATATTATTTCCCTTGCGGGTTCTGGTGCTGTGTCTTTGTTGTAGGAGGTGACTAATTAAGGGTTCCCTGAAACTGAAAGACACATCACAGCCGAGCTGTATACCACTGGTTTACAACTTGCTTACTGTTATTTTAGGGCAAATGCAGAAGAAGAACCATCAAGTGCTGACAATAAAAATAGGGTGTTAGTAGCATCATATGCCTGATAGAACTTCTTTAGTTACTTACTCTCAACCCTGAAATTGATGACATCTCAATACTGAAATTGGTGATATCAGCACTGAAACTAGTGATATCATAATGCTGAAATTGGTGATGTCTCAACACTGAAATTGGTGATGTCTTAAAATGATAAAATAAGAAAGTATTAATGTGACCTAAAGCTGTGTTATAATGGATTTAGTTCTGTTTTGACAGGCTAGAGAGGAGTATAGTTAGAAAACCACACCAGTTTTAATTTGTGTGTCATAATAATTACTTAGTAATACTATTGGTTAAGATCATCTCTTGGGCTGTGGTGACAGCATGGGAGAGGCGACAATTTGTCATAAACATACTTCTGAACTATAACTTTTTCATCACCTGTTACGATGCTACCACCAGAAACATGGTCCACAGATTGTACACAGAAACATGGTCAACAGATTGTACGCAGAAACATGGTCCACAGATTGTACACAGAAACATGGTCAACAGATTGTACACAGAAACATGGTCAACAGATTTTACACACATCCTTTGAAAAGCAAAAAGCATGTTATCCAGTACAGGAGACTATGAATGTCCATCAGAGAGCACAACCCAATAGAGGTGAATAAATATTTAGTGAAGAGCTAAAAACCTGCTCAGGAACAGTGAGAAATATGATTAGTTCTTGGGCTTAACTCCCCCCTCCCTTCCTTTCTGAGAAACCATTTCAAACCTCAAGAGGTCAGTTGTGTTTTGTACGCTGAATTTTTTTTTTTTTTTTTTTAGTTTCTTATGCATATGTTTTACAAGTGTTATCTCATTGAAAGTTGGCAAAACTGTTCATGTGCTTTATGTAGCCCTTGTTGGGTTCCTTGTTGTTGTGGGAATGTTCAAGATTGGATTGACTACAAGCCAGCTGATCACGTGGTTACCTGTGAATTGCCTTGTGGCTGGCATTTGTGTTATGTTGTGATTCACACTGAGGTACAGTTGAATTAAAGACACTGTCAAGAGTTTTTACTGAGAAAGAAATTATAATCATTTGTGTGTAACATTGTTCATGTATTTGCCTGGATTCTGTGTGTGGTGTTGTGTGTGTTACTGAAAGAATGTTTGTGTAAAGAAATCACTTGGTTCGAACAGAGGTGTGTGGTATGAATATGGATAGGGCATTTTTCAGCCAGAATGGTTTATTTGGGTTCCAATGCTTAATCCAGATAGGATTATGGTTTGTTTGGGTTCCAACGCTTTGTCCTGGTAGGTTTGTGGTTTATTTGGGTTCCAGTACTTTGTCTAAGTAGGATTATGGTTTATTTGGGTTCCATAACTTTGTCTAAGTAGGATTATGGTTTATTTGGGTTCCAATGCTTTGTCCAGTCGGGATTACGGTGTATTTGGGTTTAAATACTTTGTCCAGGTGGG